AGAGACTATGTATGGCTCCAGAAGAAACCCAGATTAGGTCAGGATCTTCTGTATATGAAATATAAGCATGGAGTTATTGGTTTTCCAAACATCTTCTTATATCATCAAGCAGCTCAGTTAATGCATACTCTCCCCTTAATTAAACAGGATAAAATCTCACAGAGTTGGTTTGAAATAGAGGGGGAAGATATTACTATTCCATATAACATTGTAGATTTAATGTGGCCCTTAAGAAATAAAAGCCCAAATAGAAATAAAGGGTGCTCTACGGATAACATGATAACAAAACCCCTAGTAAAATTTTGGACTTGTTTTAAAAATCAACTAGAACTAAAAAATAAAATATTACCCGCTATTCCCTTCAAAAGTTTAGAGGTCTGGATAGAAAATTTGGACATAACAGAATGGCTTGGCAAGGGGATTAAAAAAATAGAGGATATTTTAGAGGAGAGTAGGATTATCTCCTTTCCTGAGCTACAGAGAATCTATGGTCTCTCACTTTCACAGACTTTTAATTATATAAGGATTAGGAGTTTTCTACAAAGTTTCCTCGGCAGTATTTCGAAGTCATCCTCAGTAGCCAAACTAAATGTATTGATAGATTCATAGAAGGATATAAAAATATTAACTAGATGTGTTGTGATTATGAAAAGTATAAAAGGGTTTGTTTAGCCCCTAGCAAAAAGTAAATGGGAAAGAGATTTATCAATAGAAATTAATATAAAGGATTGGAATAGGGCCCTTCAAACAGTATACTCTATGGTACACTGTTTAAACATCAGGGAGGCTCACTATAAGCTTCTAAATCGCTGGTATATGACACCAAATAAGATCCAGAAATATTCTAAGGAAGAGTCCTGTAGCTGTTGGAGATGTGGTAGCGAGGGGGCAAATGATTTGCATATTTGGTGGGAGTGTCCTCCAATTAAAGTAGCATGGGAGCAATTTATGGGACATATAAATACCCTTTTGGATATCACGCACATTTGGACTCCAGATACTTTGCCTTTACATTTAAATTTACCACAACTGACTAAAGACAAGAAATGCTTGCTGATACATGCCTTGATGGCTTTTAAGATGTCCATAGCAAAAAACTGGAAAAAAACTCTAATTGATTCATGGCCACACATTAAGGCAATTATTATAACCCAATGTAAAATGGAAAGGGGTATAGCATCTAGTTTAAATATCAATACTCGTTTATTTGAGATATGGGATAACTGGATAAAGATTCTCAAAATCCCAATATAGGACAGTCTATATTCAACTACTAGGACTATTTAATGTAAAATAGGAGATCTCTGAAAGGGTGGTAGCAAATAGGAATCAGGAAGGGCACAATAAATATCAAAGGAAGCATTGTCAACTTTATTGTTAGTTTTGTTTGTTTGTTTAAGTGTGCAGTATTGGTCCAGCAGTAGAGGCGAAGGTGAAGGCTATTTTCCTTTTTGGAACTTTTTTCTTTACTGAAGCTTAAAGGTTGGAAGTATACTATGTGTAAAATAGGAAAAATATTAATTATTGTGATAGAGTTACAAGCTGTGCAATACTTTGTAAATGTCTCTCTGCAATTGTTTTGTATACAATCTACTGCTTGCTAAATGTTTTATATATATGTATAATATATTTAAAAAAATACTAATAAATAAACATAAAAAAAAAATTAAAAAAAATAATGTAAACCAAACTTCTAGCGGTTAAACCAAATTAATGGTTTCTCAAGAAAAAATGTCTGATAAATGTCCTTCGGAAGCACATCAGCCTTTTTAAATTACTTGTTCTGTTAGTCATACAAAAAAATAAAATAAAATGAAAGCTTTTTGGGTTCAATATGAACTCCATACTTGTACAAGGGGAGTTTAACCCTCCCATGCCCCCACTCAACATGTCGCAGGTTGGAGGATGTGCGCTAAACAGCGAGCAGCCATTGGCTGCTCACTGTAATCAAGTTATTATTAAAATATAAGCTGTAATTGTCGCATGTCTTCCCCTGTGGTTAAAGAATGTGAACAAATCACAGCTGGGAAGGTAGTGGTATTGCCACATGGTGGGGGAAATTAATGAAGTAATAAATAGGGGGACTTAGTGTTTCCCTCCAGCCAATACCCATAATATGCAACTGTTAAATGGAAATTTTCAATGGAAAATATAGGCTTCAGATTCATATTTAAAATAATAAACCTCTAACAGCATGGGGAGAGGGAGCTCTCTTAATGTTAACAGGTCTGTGGTCATTATGTCTGTTGATTAGCCTGCTAAATGCCACATTCATCTTGTTTTGTCTACATGGACTCAATGGAAAACAATGGATGACCTTGTAAATCACATTGGGAGTCCTGTTCATATTTCTGGCATTCTAATCTTGACCCAATTCTTCACAATCGGTTATTCATTATTCTGAAGTGACACTATTTCAAACCAGTGTATATAGTTAACATAAGAAAGTAAATCTAACCCTACAAAGATTTAAAGAGTGTTATTTTTTACACTGATTAAATAAAAGAACAAAGTTTAGTTTAAAGGTCTGAAATAATCAAACAAAACGATAGGTTAACTTGCTTATCAATTTAGACGTTCACTCTGTTATTTTCATGGGTCAGGAACAAAATACAATAGTAATTTAATTTTCATCACCTGAGGCGTCACTTAGAACAATTATGACTCTTCAAGTTAAGTTATGCTAAACAAGTGTAAGCAGCTTAATTACTTTGCACCAGAACATTATCTGACAAGTTATGTATCTAGCTTTCGATGTTTTGTGAAAGACTTACACAATATTGATTTTGCATCCTACTGTGGCACATGACTGAGACTTTAGCTATATCAATTTGGGATGTTCAAAGCATGTTACATTAAAATAAAGTGTAAAAGCTCTGCATGCATGTAAGCTGAGCTAACAAAAAACTAATATTCACTAATGATAAGGATTCCACTTTATCAATTCTTAACACTCAGTAAATGCATATTATATACTATATATCAATACAGGAGAAAATGAGATACGGCTGTATGCAATCTAAAACAGGAACAAAAAAATACACACAGAGTGATAAAGTAAAACAAATACTAATGTGCTGAGATTATAGTGCACTCACAAGATCAAGATGAATAGTGCGCCCAAAAGGTGCCTGCCTCGATAAACTTGGGCGGCTAAACATCTCCACTCTCCACTGGGAATCCAAGCGGACCAAGATATGGAATGAGACTCCGGTAGGTATAGGTAAAATAAATGTATAAATTTATTGTAAAAAAAAATATATTAGGGGTATATCACCTAAGCAGTCACTTGTAATATAACTGCTCCACTCTCAACTATCTTTTTTCCTGGTAAAATGTGTGTTTAAGGGTTACACAATTAGAGTATGTTGAAGCAGCAACATCATTATAATAATAACTCTAAATAGTGTTCATTAAGAAACGTATTCCCCTTTTAAAAAGAGCGCTCCAAAATTATTATTTTAAAAGATAAAGAGATTCTTGGAATACCAGGTAGTAGCTTGATAGATCTGTTCTGTAGACACTTAAAATGCAGCACCTCTAGAGAAGGAGCAAGATCAGAGAGTGAGCACAAATCCCTAAGTGAGTTAGGAACAATATGAACCTTGTTATTTTAGGAAATTTCGAGTACATGCCGTAGAAGCTAACTCTCCAATCAACCAGTTAGTAGAGCAACAAATGTACAAATCCATTTTCTTAAATAATCTCTCAGTATGAATTAGCAGGTGACCACATGAAATTTGTAAAACAAAAACTACTGTTTATAGTGAGGAAAAATACTTAACTTTTTGCCAAAAAATAAAATAAAACCAAACAAATATATAAATAATTAAATATATACAATCATATATGAATATTCATTATAACAAAATATAATTGAAGAAAATGCTAGCTTTGGTGTACTAATAATCTTAATGTTTAGTACTGAGAAGAAGCAAATAACGTATTTACTCAACTCCATTGCAGCATGGACCCTGCAAACATGAACAATATAGGGTATAATATGCACATGGAACCAAAGCACCTCCTTATCATCCCGTGACAACACAAGTTCATAGGAAACAATTTAAACAATCAATAATAATAGTCCTGTAGAAGGAGGAGCCCAACCATAACGACACCAGAAAACAATCTTCAGAATTGATTCACCTGAAAAGAAACATGAAAAGGTTTAGTCATATGGAAGGCAACACATTAAACAATACAACAATGCAGATATATGCAAAACCAACAACTCATAATTTTTAAGCAAAATAGAGAACAACAAAGCAAACAAAACAATCTAAAAGTGAAGTCAAAGAAACATGAGCATGAGTATAAACCTCAAACTGACAATAGACCATGAAGAAGACATCCACAACAAAAGGGTAGGGAAGAAGAAAAAAGGAGGGAAATATTCACCTCTTGTCAATAATAAAATTAAGATTATTAGTACACTAAAGTTTGCATAATCTTCAATTTTACAACATGATCGAAGGTTTCATATTTTACAATTTCAACATTGCGAAATAAGAGAATATGTACATTTTAAAAGTTATTTTTTATGCCCATTTCATTGTGACTATATTTACCAAAATGTTGAGACACTCTATGGTAGTTTTGTTCTTTTCTTTTTTGTATTCATATAAATTCACCATTTAGGGGTTACTCCCCATTTTGTTTCTACCCATATTCGTGCCTCATATTCATATCTAGGCTCTCCTTTTTTCTTTTTTAGTTACTTATGTATAATA